ATATATACAGTATGTGTTACAGCAGATGGGTCCATTCATGACCATCATGCACACCGGTTATCTGAATATTTCTAACTTCCAAAGGAATATTCAGGCACACTGGAAAAACACATGGAAAAATCATCAAAAAGACTTTCAGCACTTTTCATTCCCTTTCAACAGTATATTCTCGAAACAAATTTGCTCTCTGGCAAGTCTCAAAGCCTCTGAGAGCTGATGGCAACTATAAAACCCAAGAGAAAAAAACAGTCATTGCTACGCGAGTACTATACACCCTACTACACCAATAAAATCTCTGGGAGGTGGAGTGCTCACAATTCTTCCTCATTAAATGCGAAATAAAATAATGCTACCAAGAAAGTTAGGCCGGCAAGAGAGTCGTGGATTAATTCTGAAAATGTCCATGGCCAACTTTATGACAACACACTTAGAAAATAATACTGCCAGAGATGGAAGTGTGTGGGCGCTGAGTGCCAGATGCTTTAGCATCATCGTTTTAAAGCTTCTGTTGCCTCACTGGAGGACTCTGACCTTGCACAATGCGCATCATATCAATCTTAATTTCATTGTTAATCACAATCTGCAGTTTGAGATTGCACCACTGCCATTTTAACTTTTACTCCAATTATAGAGTAATTGTATTTCCCCTGCAGTTGGCTGGCACCTGGTCCAGGGCAGACATCAGATGGAATAGGCTCCCGTGACCCAAATAAGGACAAGGGGTATCAGAGCTGTCAATTCCAGGTCCAGATGCAATATTGTGCTCGAAATTCAGGCCAAATTCGAATGCCGATGCCCTTTCGAGGTGTTCTCAGAGGAGCCTCCCGATAAGAATTTGGATCCGGTTCACCACATGACAAAGCAGTTGTGCGAGCCCACTGAGTTGGAAGAAGTGTCTCCCGAACTTGTAGAAACCATCTGCCAGAGTGGTTTATACCGAATGTGCCAGTCAGACTTTAGTCAAACTACCATTGCCCTGGTTGTGTCTCTATCAGCTTCTGTCAATTCCATGCCTTATGGTCTTTCATGCCTGATCCACTTACATCCCAAGTGAAGTCAGGGACTTCTGTGCACGTCCCGCTGAAGGCCATCTTATGGAACCCATTTCGCTAGAACCTGTGCAGTCGACGGTGGAGGATGGAAGTGATGACATACCTACAGATGAGCCTGACCATCACTCAAATATGAGTGAGGCATGCAAAATCAGCTGTCAGCTCAACTGAAACCCTAATGAGGACAAGCTCTCTATGAAAAATTCAAATATTGTTTCTCAATAATACCATTATCTGCTTTAGCTGCACAAATGAACTCTTGTTATATACTTGACTTGTGTTATAGTCATCTGCTTATTATTATTCACATGAAACAATGTTCCAGACATTGTTTTATAATTTTAATTTGTGCAGTAAATTTTTATCCAGTGGCAGCTGCCTCTTGTGGGTTTGCACATGACATATCAGTGCACATCTTGTCTGTTGCCACACTGTAGTAGCAGGTACAGTAAATAATTACGAGTTTTATTTCATTTACTGTGAAACAAATTGCAATTATTCGCCTGAGCTGTTAAAACATGGATTCCTGAATCAACAAAAAGGGCTGTGTATTGCAGAGCAACAGCTGCACAAGCAGAGATAGCTGCAAAGTATATTTCAAGGCTCACTATACCATATGGTCCAGGGAAGAGAGACTTAGCGTATACAATGAAAAAGACAAATGATGGCTCAAAGACATGACAACAAGACAAAAAAAATTACACAAATGCTGATGTCGAGAGAGAACCAGTGAGATCCAGGGAGACCTATTGTGTCCGACGTGTTGGCTGTGGTGCTGAGGCACCACCACAAGGTCCCCTCCTCTCATTAAAGCTTATGAGGCAAGGTTGGTGCATGTTTTATTGCAATGAGGGCTCTGTCTGGCACGTTGCAGGTTTAGAGCCTTGTGCTACAAGCACGACAATGCTGATTTTGTATCTGAGGGGAAGCAAGGGACTGCAGCATCATTGAGCAAAGACAGGTGATGTCAGACTGAGTCATGCTGAGAGTTTGAAACATTTCAGCTATTCAGGTGCTCATATTTTGAGACTGTCATGTATCAGTCTGTGTGGAATGAATGTATGTATTACGCAAGTTTCACTTTTTGACTTGGGAATACTGAAATAAATCAACTTTTTCATGATATTTTAATCATTTGATGAGCAGCTATATGTGTGCTTGTTATAATGCTGTCTCCTTTTCTGTGCAAATTGGGTTTTATAATGTTTTGTGTCAAGGTAAACATTTCTTTTTGCTTGAATTGATAGAAACCCTTGAAAGGTGTGGAAAAAATAGAACGTGAAAGCCCATCTAGGCCAGTCGCTTTTGTAAAATTCCCATCAAATGTCATAATCTGTTTTGGGAGCAGTTCAGAGAGAGACTCACTTTTTTTTTTTTTTTTTTTTGTGGTTCAAATGTTTCAACCCCCAAAAAAATCACAAACAAACAAACCAAAAAACCCATCTAAATTTATCTTAGAGCATGGAAATGTCATTTTCCACAACCAAGCTTTCAAAGAAATGTGATTGTATGTGGCTCCGCGATTCCCCATGGTGTGTGAGGCCATCATTTCTCTTAGCCGAGAAGCAACTTTTATCAACCAAAAGGCTTCATAAATGAATGGCAGAAATTTTCCTTGCAAGTTTCTGTCAAATATGAATATTCGGTACTCACAACCAGACTGTCTGCTTGCTGATAGTCACTCTCAGAATTGAAGGTAGTTTTCAGAAGAAAAAAAAATCGCCAATGTCCACATGTTTAGATGTAGAGGCAGCGGGCCATTCCAGCCAGTAAGGCTGAAAAATGTCCAGCAACATGAGAATAATTCATGCAGGCGTGTCTATTAGCGACCTGTTATTTTTTTTTTTTTTTTTTTTAACAACCACCTTTTTGGAAGTAGAGATATAAAATTTTAAAAATTAGAATAAAAATGCCTGCATTCTCGTTTCTGTGTTTTGGAAGCACACACACACACACCAATTGATGTTTGCGTGTCTATTAGCGACCTGTTATGCAACTATAATGTTTTTGCAATATCGTGTGAACAGAAATTGTCAATACGTAAAATGTAAGAAAGTGCAAAACAGTTCATCCAATGTGTTCACAGAAGTACGTTATCTGATGATGTAAAAAATATAAAGTACATATCGTACTGTACTTGATTTAGAGGACACCATGACTCAGCTTGTGCTGAATGACTAATTTCAAGAACATTATATGCAAGTTGTCGAAAATGAAGACATTCAGCTTGTGTCACTTATAATCAAAGACGAAATCCCCGCCTTATCGCCTGCTGGGTGCAGAGGTCTCAGCTTTGTCTAATTGCCACAAGGCGAAGCGTCAAAGCTGCATGTCCCTCACTATTTACCCCCACTGAGGCTTAGAGCTGATAATGGAATTACTCTTGGGTCCTAGGAGGAGGGAGCGAAGGGGGCCATTCCAGCCAGTAAGGCTGAAAAATGTCCAGCAACATGAGAATAATTCATGCAGGCTGGGCAAATGTTATGAGAGATTGGTATAAACTCTGTTTAGTGTTTAGTTTGGGCCCTTTTTTTTTTTTACAACCACCTTTTTGAAAGTAGAGATATAACATTTTAAAAATTAGAATAAAAATGCCTGCATTCCCGTTTCTGTGTTTTGGAAGCACACACACACACATCAATATGTGACAATTCCCTTGTGAATATCAGAAGATAATGAGCTTCAAATGAAAGGTAGAGAAACCCCAATTGATGTTTGCGTGTCTATTAGTGACCTGTTACGCAACTATAATGTTTTTGCAATATCGTGTGAACAGAAATTGTCAATACGTAAAATGTAAGAAAGTGCAAAACAGTTAATCCAATATGTTCACAGAAGTACGTTATCTGATGATGTAAAAAATATAAAGTACATATCGTACTGTACTTGATTTAGAGGACACCATGACTCAGCTTGTGCTGAATGACTAATTTCAAGAACATTATATGCAAGTTGTCGAAAATGAAGACATTCAGCTTGTGTCACTTATAATCAAAGACGAAATCCCCGCCTTATCGCCTGCTGGGTGCAGAGGTCTCAGCTTTGTCTAATTGCCACAAGGCGAAGCGTCAAAGCTGCATGTCCCTCACTATTTACCCCCACTGAGGCTTAGAGCTGATAATGGAATTACTCTTGGGTCCTAGGAGGAGGGAGCGAAGGAGGGAACCAAAGAAGAGGAGGCGAGAGTGGAGCGACATTCAGGGTGCAAACAGACAAATAGAGGCTGTATGAATCTTAAGGATATGAAGCTATAAACGCGTGGCATTATTTGACTACAACCTGCAAAGAATAATTACAAGCAATGTCTGCCACTATATTGGCTAGTAATTTCTGTCTGTTAGATATTTATAAACATATATTTTTAGAAAGGCTGGCCTTCCCCTAAATATATGCAAGGTAGCGGATTATACTCTCCAGCCGTATTATGTGTAAACAGTTTTAGATTCGACACAATCAAAAAACTGCAGATTTCTTTTTTTGGGGGGGTGGGGGGTGGGGGTTATTTCCCTTCAAATGATGCCTCATATGGAAAGGTCAATCATTTGTGTGGTGAGCAACAATTGAGTCTGTGTGCACTGCGTGCACCCATATGAAACTGCCTATGCCAAACATCTTATTTTCTGCTGTTGCTATTGACATTAATTTGATGTTTGGAAACTCAATCGATCAGTTGAAACAAATACAAATAGAAACTTGAGACACCTGCTTATTCCAAAGGTATGTCATTGGTTGCCTGAAAGGGTTGTTAGATGTATAGGCAGATGGAAGTTCATGTAAATATACAGTGGTACATTTCCTCATAGGCATGTATGCTGTTTGGTTGCTTTAAAAAAAAATACGTGTGTGTAAATTCAATGTTTCTGTTCACCTTTCCCTTCTTGTTTTATCTGCATGCTTCAATCACCTTTCATCTACTTTCTCAATCTTCCATTTTCTACCCCCTCACAGTCTGTTCCCAGTATTCAAGGGGAGTCTTCGCCATATTCGGCCTTTATGACAAACGCTCAGTCAACACGCTGACGTCATTCTGCGGGGCCCTGCACATCAGCCTGGTAACACCCAGCTTCACCACCGAAGGAGAGGCCCAGTTCACCCTGCAGCTGCGGCCATCCATTAGAGGGGCTTTGCTGTCCCTTTTGGACCACTATGACTGGAGCCGATTTGTCTTTCTCTATGATACGGATAGAGGTAAAAAGCCACAAACACACCAATTGCATACAAATACAGCGTTGCCTTGAGATACGAGTTTAATTTGTTCATCGCGAATCGTCTTTCAGCATTGAAATAATAATAATAATAATAATAATAATAATAATAATAATACATTTCATTTAAAAGCGCCTTTCATGCCACCCAAGGACACTTTGGATGGCAATGCCATTGATCCATCCGAGCCTCCCCACAAAAACATTCAGTTTATGTTTTTCAATAAGGACAACCTGCACTGTCTAAAATTGTACATCTTGGAGATCATAAATTAAATAGAACGTAAAGAAGCAAACAGTTTGTGCATTATGATGTAATGCTGCAATCCAATTAATTGCTAATTGCGTTGCTCTTTTATGCTAATACCCCTGAGTCATGCGGACACAAAGAATAGACTTCTTTTGCTGCTCTCCACCTTATAACTTTGCAAAAAAATGGGACGAAATACCCGAAAAATTGCTCTGGCACAGGTCGGCACCAATTGTCACAGTGTAATGAAATGAACCAGATACAGTGACACGCAGAGTTGGAAGGAGTATTGTCATCCGTATTATGGCATGACTACTTGTGAGTGGCTCCTAGTCAACCCTTAGATAATTTGTTTCGATTTTACATATGCTCCTTCTAGGACGTGCAAACACACTCTGCTGTGATTTTGCCCGTTTGGCAGAGACAATCCTGGAAGCAACCAGTTAGTAGTTCGGATTCAGTCAGCTTTTTCACCTGATTGTACTCAGGCTCACTATAGTGGCATGGCCCTTATGTAGCCATCACATTATGCAAATGGGCAAAGCATTCTCAATCGATCTCAAAGAACTGAAGCGATTCCCAAAACACAGAGAGGAAATAAAGGTCAGACGTGATCCACCGGCCCATGGTATAGATCCCTCGTGTGAGTACACTCGTTTATATGCATTGTGTGTGGGTTTTTTTGCTCCTTTGGTCCAGGCTATCTGGGTTCGTACCCTTACTGATGATTGATGAAAGTGAAGAGAGAGGCAGAACACAAGAGTCACTCGAGTTAGCTCGGCAGCCAGAAAGAGTGGAAGCGTGAAGGACAGGTGTGAGATGAGGGAGGCAGGGGACAAACAAGTTGATAGGAAAGGGACAGCTACGATCATTCATCGAAAATGCAAGAGAGCGGTGGGTGGGCCGTGGTCGCCGGTGTGATTACAGAGACTGGAAGAAAGGCAGGAGTGGGGGGAGACTGGAATGGCAAGAAGGAGAACAAGACGGGAAATAAGGGGAAATGCAGCATAGGATGGATGTGTCGACTTTTTGCTGTGTTCACTTGACCAACGAAGGGTCCCACATTATAAGCTCCCATTAAGCTCTGCGTCTGGTAATGTGCTGGAAAATGGGCAGCAACACGGTGCTCTGTTTTACACTCACTACTGTGCTAGACAGATATATGTACAGTATATATATCATATTCATACATACCGGTATTATATACAGTCGGTGAATACACCGGACTCTTACTGCAGTGCCCCTGCACAACCTAAAGAGAGCCAAGACTGCCATTTTGAAGACAGCTCTTAATATAGCATATGGACGAAGACAACTACAATGTATCCCATATTCTATCAAAGTTCTTGAACTGCAACATATTGAGAGTTGTTTTCACAATCCGCATATGGGTATCTTGCAGTTCCTTATAACCGCCCCTTGCGCATGCATGCAAATCTCCTACATGGACTTAAGTAAATGTTCTTCTGTTTCCGCAGTTTAGACTCCACACCTAATCTGCAGTGATTTACATAAAGGGAATACGGGAAGCCACTTCAATTGGCTGAGAATCCAGTCGGCTGTGTTCACTCCCACAACAGGGCAAACATTCACGCAGAACATTGTTCTGGCAGCCAGGCATGCCCTTTACTTCTTGCCCATACCCATTGAACTGCGTTTAAGGTTTTATGAGAAAGTAAGATGATATCAGTGTTGATTGGAAAAACTCTGGTCTGTTATTATCATTTCTACATTGTAAAAACAATCATTTTGGCTGATTTAGTCAGATGGTCGATTAATCGGTTGGGCCGTAGTTTCTTTTTATCACCGTGCTGCTCTGCGGTAACCTCTGCAGTCATATGTGACGTGTGTACATCGCTGGCGAATGAAGCACAGGGATAATATATAAGCGACTGTAGTGTAACCGTCTCGGAGGCTACATTAATGTACACAATACCCCATGCGTCCAAATACCGGTGAGGGTGGAAACGATAGAGGTTTATATCATTTATTTGTGACATTTGCGATGTAAGAGGAATTGATAAACAGAATGGCCAGGCACGCAAACAAATAATTCCTAGCAATAGAAATACTGGGACCTGTTATCAGAAAGACGTTTTTGATTCCCATCCTTATATGTAGCTACAAAACTCTTGTGGACTTTTTTTTTTAATCAACTCAACAGAGTTCGATTCATTGATGCCACTGAGCAAATGTCATGTCTCAAATTATGTAATTTGTTCGACCTTTTCTTAATTTACTGTATTCAAATTCAGAGGGTTCCACATTGTGCCGAATGAATTGCATCACAAACACGAAACGTCCATTGAAACCTAGCGTTGGTTCACAGTCGAATAGTGTTTGGCACATCATCTCCTGATGTAGTGATGTGTTGGTCAAGAAGAGATTGTTGCGAGGGATGACACAGTAAGTGCTTTACCCTCTCCCTTGGCAGACAAGACATTAGGGTATTGCTTCGGTAAATGAGATGGGTTGATGAGTCTGCTGGATTTTAATGCACACCTGCAAGCATTTTGCTGATATTGCCAATATGTGCTCACTGTGTTGTAATTGTGATGAAATCAAACATTTTCTGAACACTGAAGGGAATATTAAGCATGAACATTTTTGTGTAAAAACAGCAAAACATAATTGCTTCACATTTCGAGCAGGTCTCATGTTGTCCGTGCTTCCATTTTCCCGTCTCCATTTTCTCACTTGTCTAGGCTATGCGATTCTGCAGGCAATCATGGAGAGAGCGGGGCAAAACGGCTGGCAGGTAAGTAGACTCACACACACACACACACACACACACACACACACACACACACACACACACACACACACACACACACACACACATACACACACACACACACACACACACACACAATTCTGGAAGCAGCCCAAAATAAACACACATATCATGCAGCGTGTAAAAAAAGAAGTTTGCATGACCGTGCAGTCATCTACACTTCTGTTATTTGCTATGCAATGTCATGATCCGATTTATGTCTGCCGACATAATTTGTATATGTAACATTATCTCAGGTGAGCGCGATTTGTGTGGAGAGTTTCAACGAGGCTGGATATCGCCGACTTTTAGAAGACCTGGACCGACGACAAGAGAGGAAGTTTGTCATTGACCTGGAGCCAGAGAGACTACAGAGCATGCTTGAACAGGTGCTGTCAATATACCGCAGTGTACTCTTTACATGATTTGAACATGATTAATTTCAGTCATTAATGAAGGAATGGCACTTTTCCATTTTGATGTTTTCATTGCATCACTGCTGTCTGCCAGCTAATTGTCAGCTTCAGGCAACTTTAGGCAGCATGCCCTATTTGAATAAAACAAAACATTCATTTCCTCTGTGAAATTAATGGAAAAAATATGAGTTCCAGTAGCATACAAACATCACTGGTTCATTTCCGCTGTCAGACCCAATGGAAACGGTCAGGCCAGTGAGCATGAACCACTAGTGTTGGAAAGAGGTTTTTAAAGTGTGATATTGTTGCTGTCGAACCGTTATTTAAAATGAGTGCGACTCGGATCTTTTTTTTTTTTTTTGACTTTGGTAGTTATAATGCATGTGTGGTGGGCAGGGGGCCTTGTTCTTTGACTTGGCTTAGTGAGAGATAATGTGGCAGAAAAATTTGCAAAACCAAGGCTGCAAAAACACAATACAATAGTGTGTGTGTGCGTTCATCTGTGCCCGTGTGCGTGGGCGAGCGCGCGTCGCTTGACGACTGTTTCCTTTCCAATGTCCTTTTAATTCCGTCGCCTAACGTCACATCTGATCCATTCTCAGTACTTGCCACACACTTGAACAACAGTGATACGAATCTGACATCGAGCTCTGACGCATGCATTCACCATTAACGCAGATATCGAGAATACACGTTGTCTATGTGAATCGTTAGAAGAAAATAAACAAACAAACACATTTGTGTTTAAACCTGCGCCACTGTTGAACTACACATACTCCATGTCCCAGACAGACAGATTGTTTTTTAATTGGACTCTGTGGTGAGTGAACAGACAGACGGAGAGACACACAAACGCACATTAGTGTTTACAACAGACACAAACTCGTGTCACAATGGGCCCGACGGTGTGTGTGTTGGCTAGCGTCCCTGCCGGGAGACGCACTTCTCTGTTCGCATCTGTGTGTGTGTGGGTGTGGGTGTGTGTAAAAAAAAAAAAAAATACAAAATAAACAAATAAAACACGCTTAATGTCATGATCGAATATAATCCTGCATTCCTTGTTCAGAGGATTGTAGCCAAAGTGTTCATAAGAGTGTATTTATATCCAGTTCATTGCAAAGTTGAACAATTTTTTTTTCCAACCAATGTCATTTGTGCCTATTATTGCCAACCTTGTAGTTCATCATTTTAATGTTGCACTCTGTCAATGTTTCTTCAGGCAGTCAGTGTGGGAAAACACGTAAAAGGCTACCACTACATCGTAGCAAACCTGGTAAGACAACTTTGGCTTGTTGCTGGTGTTATACTTGCATCATGTTTTGCAGTTGCCAAATATGGAAAAAAAAAATTTGAAACAGATCAGATGCCTGAGTTGCGTTGTTGTCAGAGTCTTCCGACGTCAATATTGATTCATAATATTCTGCATTTTGTGGCTTGGATCAAGAAGTTACAGATGTAGAAATCGGATTTCGAAGAGTCTATTTAGCAATGCCGCATCTTTAATCTCTCGGTTACTTGAGCCGTGAAGGAGAGGGCTGGGAGATGAGGTCAAGTAAGAAAAAGCTCATGGTGCTTTTAGCAATTACTTTTCATCAATTCAGGATCAGGCTCACATGTGGTCTACCTTTGTACTCTACCTCTTTTCGAAATGAATCACCCTACTACAGAGAGATGCCCTGCATGAAATCTTATCAAGTAGCAGAAGCGACACCATATTCATTAGGGATAAATAGTGTTGATAATCTGTGCGAGTATGATAAGTATCATTATTTGGCAGGAGAGCTCTTATACTCTTGATAATAGGAATTGGAGCATAACGGTCTTTTTTTTTTTTTGTAATTGTGCTTCCTTCCAGGGGTTTAAAGACATTTCTCTGGAAAGGTTCATGCACGGTGGCGCCAATGTGACTGGTTTCCAGCTCGTGGACTTCAGCAAGGCTATCGTCATTAAACTGATGCAGCGTTGGAACAAACTCGATCAAAGGGAATATCCTGGATCAGAGAGCCCACCCAAGGTACCGTATATACGAGCGATCTTACGACCTAAGAAATGAAGTTTGGATGACACTAGCAGAAAAGTATTTGATATTTCCTAAACAAAGTTTTGTCTTGGCAAGCTTCTTTCTAGAACAATGAAGTAAAAGTTGTTTTTTGTTTTTGTTTTTTTAAAAGAGTACACTCATTCTACATAATTATTGGCATCCGCTCCATGACTTAGTCTTGGTCTTGATATACCTAAAGAAAAAGTTCAGTCCCCTATTTTGTTGCCTCTAATAGTGCCCACTCTTCTGGAATGATTTTGTGCAAGATGATATAATGGACTGTGTTGAATTTTTGCCCACTCATCTATAAAATTTGTGAGGTTACTGAGGTTAGACCTGAGAGAGGTTGGAAGCTTACAAACGTCCAAAAGGCGTTTGTAAGATGAAGAATCAGGACTCAAAGGGAATTAATGGGTCGTTTAGAAGCCTTGCTTGATTGCTCAATTTATAGAGAAATACGTTTCTGTACTTTAGTTCTTCTATTGTAGAAACACCCGCATTGCGCGATCTTGCTTTTTCTTCAAATAAGCCAGGTCCTTTCAAGGTTATCCTTCTTCTCCATTTTCAGTGTTAGTGCAAGTTCTTTTTCCAAACATTGCAGCTGTAAGAGCAATATACTGGTTGATCCAACAAAGGAATCAATGTCAACATGGAGGTTTCGCTGCAGATTTTCTATCCCTGCACTGGGATTTTCATGTGATTACACAGTCCGATCCCTTATATGTATAAGAATAACAATATGTCTAGTGTGTATTCCATAATATACAGTAACTCACCTCTCTGTATTTGCACTCCTCCGTTTACTCTCCTCACAGTAGTGCTCGACTCTCTCAGCTTTTCTTTTCAATAATTGTCCTTTCACTAATTATCTCTTCTCACTTTCAATGTCCTATTAATTTAATGACAGCGAGTTCTGTTTTTTATTTCCATATATTAACTGCAGATGTACCCACTTATCCATATAATATATGTACAAATCCTAAGTAAAGGAGGTATCTTAACCACCCTGACTAGCATACAAATTATTTTCTAGTCGGGCTGAAAATAAAGACACACACACACAGACACAACACAATGGCTCTAACGAGATATGTTTGAATAATTTTGACTTTTGTCCATATTGATGATGATATTCTTTATTCTTGGCATGTCATTCGTTCACCCAAACACAAGCGTTAATTGGTTCATCAGCATCCTCACTTTCAGCGGATGAATCCTTATTAGCCGCATTAATTTTCCTCGACAGTTTACACAACATTTAGTATCTTAATGACGGCATCGTTTTTCATGCTTATAGTAAATACACAATCTGTGTGTAGAGATGCGCAACTGCTGGCATTCTATGTAAAAGTAGGTGTCACCCATCATGCAATTGGTACATCATTAAAACAGCTGGGTTTTTTTCATGGCTTTTTAAAAAATTATTATTATGAAAGCACATATATTTTTAATTGTACAAACCGTGCCTTCACTCATGCAACACGAGGTTGGTGAGGTACTGTACAAAATCAAACAAATTAATTAAATTGTCTATGGTGAGGTCTGAATATATCCATCCATCCATCCATCTATTCATTTTCTGAACAGCTTCATCCCCACAAGGGGCGTGCTGGAGCCTATCCCAGCTGTAGGCGGGGGACAGCCTGAACCGGTTGCCAGCCAATCGCAGGGCACACAGAGACGAACAACCATCCGCACCCACACTTACACCTCGGAACAATTTAGAGTGTTCAATCAGACTGCCATGCATCTTCTTGCCAAGATTATGTAATGGACTGTGTTGAATTTTTGCCCACTCATCTATAAAATTTGTGAGGTTACAGATGTTAGACCTGAGAGAGGTTGGAAGCTTACAAACGTTCAAAAGGCGTTTGTAAGATGAAGAATCAAGACTCAAAGGGTCGTTTAGAAGCCTTGCTTGATTGCTCAATTGATAGAGAAATACGTTTTTGTACTTTAGTTCTTCTATTGTAGAAACACCCAACGCAGGCACGGGGAGAACATGCAAACTCTACGCAGAAAGGCCGCAGCTGGAATCGAACACTGCACTCGGCACTGTGAGGCAAATGTGCTAATCAGTCGCTCACTGTAATTGTTCAAAATGTAAAACCAGGCTCTATTCAGTCACTCTTTAATTTTCTACAGCTTATCATTCAGGGTGACTCATGAGCTGGAGCCGTTCCCGACTTACCTTTCTGTTAAATGTGGTCGCAGCTGTCTCAGTACATTGCTGCTTCCTGTTCCCTTTCTCACGCATACAGTTCGGGTGACTATTTGCGTGAATTGAAAAATAAAAAAGTATTTTACCTCGGCACTGTGAGGTTGACGCGCTAACCCGTCGACCACCAAGCCGCCGGTCTGAAGGGCAAACATTTACAAGTGTTGGCCAAGATACGAGCTATAAGCTAACTCAAACAGAAACATTGCAGAATTCTGATTACTTTTTCCATTCATAGTGAAAAACACAATCACAAAAGCGACCAAATCTCGTGAATCTGTCAATTATGTACAGGGTTGACAGCAACATTATGGAATATGCTCAGCTTGCAAACGTCACATGACCAAATTCAGAAAGCAAGTGAGCCTTGATAGGTTGCGACCTGAGCCTTGAGCAACCGTGATGTTATTTTCAGTCTGAGATGGATAAAAAGGGAATATGAATCAGAAAACCATGGTTAAACTTGTGACGTTGCATAGAACATATTATTGTATTGAAAATTCTAGAGTTGTTCTCACTTTCAATGTCCTATTAATTTAATGACAGCCAGTTCTGGTTTTTATTTCCATATATTAACTGCAGATGTGCCCACTTATCCATATAATATATGTACACATCCTAAGTAAAGGAGGTATCTTAACCACCCTGGCTAGCATACAAATTATTTTCTAGTCGGGCTTAAAATAAAGACACACACACACACACACACACACACACACTTGTGACGTTGCATAGAACATATTATTGTATTGAAAATTCTAGAGTTGACTTGTCTTTTAATATTCTTTTTCTATTGGGTTGTTGGCCGTGTTCAACAGTCTGGAGCGTAATTTTAGCGCTAGCTCTCATCCTTGGTAACATACTGTAGCTCTGTGTTGGCTCTGTGTCATTGTCAAGCTGAATTGGCGTCACCCAAACACAAGTGTTAATTGGTTCATCAGCATCCTCACTTTCAGCGGATGAATCCTTATTAGCCGCATTAATTTTCCTCGACAGTTTACACAACATTTAGTATCTTAATGACGCCATCGTTTTTCATGCTTATAATAAATAGACAATCTGTGTATAGAGATGCACAACTGCTGGCATTCTATGTAAAAGTAGGTGTCACCCACCATGCAACTGGTACATCATTAAAAAAGCTGTCTTTTTTCAAGGCTTTTAAAATAAATTATTATTATGAAAGCACATATATTTTTAATTGTACAAAGCGTGCCTTCACTCATGCAACACGGGGTTGGTGAGGTACAAAATCAAACAAATTAATTAAATTTTCTATGGTGAGGTCTGAATATATCCATCCATCCATCCATCTATTCATTTTCTGAACCACTTCATCCTCACAAGGGTCGCGGGGCGTATTGTATTGAAAATTCTAGAGTTGACTTGGCTTTTAATATTCTTTTTCTATTGGGTTGTTGGCCGTGTTCAACAGTCTGGAGCCTAATTTTAGCGCTAGCTCTCATCCTTGATAACATACTGTAGCTCTGTGTTGGTTCTGTGTCATTGTCAAGCTGAATTGGCCTTCGAAGGTCCATAAATTGAAGCACGCAGTGGAAGGCTTTTATGCTCCTCAACAAGAACCTCTATAGATGACATTCAAGGTTCATACTCCAAATAGAGTTCCATCTTTATCTATTTTGAATGTGCTCTGTAGAAGTTGTTGTGGTCCATGTACTTAGAGGTGCTTGGACAGGGAGTGACTGCGGAGAGGTTAGGTCTCGGTTATGGAGGATTACAGGAAAAGTCTCCGCTCACTTAGCCTTGGGCGAGTCACGCAATATTTTCGTTTGATAATGGGCCCTGTGAAATGCACGATAATAGAAATTGCCCCTTTTACATAAGCAGTAGATTTTGAGCTAACTGCTTTCAGCCATCACTCAAAATGTCTTTACCCAGTAATTTTATGCTGGTGTGCCCTGAAATGAGTCCTGATGTGCCTTGAGATTTTCTGAAAATGTAATAAAAATGTTCAGTTAACCTGTTAAAGTAATATTTTAATCTGAGGTGGAATTATTTAAATGTCATACGCCTGCACAAGTACAAAGGTTTTTCTTTTTTTTTTCCACATTATTTTTGCTTTGCGTAACACCCATGTTTGCTAAGAATAATCATCATCATCATCATACTCAGTTCATACTCACTTTACAACAAGAATTAAGAGGTACAGGATAGAAATGCACAGTATAAATCTTAATACAGTACACACAAGTTTTAAAACAAACAAATGTCACGAAAAAAAAAACAAAGCAAGAAATGTTTGTGCTTGGTCATGGGGATGGCGAGGTTTTTTGCATTTGAGGAGCAGAGGGTCGAGAAGGAGTGCATGGGTGCGGAAGGTCGGAGTGGTCGGAGGGGGCCCGATTGTGAAGGGCTGTATAGGTGAGTAGGAGGAGTTTAAATTAAATACGCTAGGGAATGGGGAGCCAGTGGAGTTTTTTTAAGGATGGGGTTGATGAGGTCACGGGAGCGGGAGTGGGTGTCGGTGAGAAGGCGGGCAGTGGCGTTCTGGATGTTTTGTAGTTTATTGAGGAGTTTGGAGCTTGTACCGTAGAGGATGCTGTTGCAGTTGACGAGGCGACAGGTGATGAAGGCGTGGATGTGGATTTTGGCGGCAGTGAAAGAAAGTATGCAAAGAACACAGAAGTCAGGAAGGGAGCGAATACTTATTTCACAACATCATGTTTGCCCGGAACAGCTTGAGTAAGATTCTTTTATCGCGTAGCTCCTTTGCCAGGTCAGATTAGAGGTTGAAACGTGGCGTTTGGGAGCACCCTGGTGGCGCCGGGCCCTAGGTGAGCACTTATGTCACTTATTGGGAAGGCTGGCGACTATATAGCTGGAAATTAAGACCAAAAATGTAATGAATGTAACCATATTTCATATAACCGAACAAATGTGACAATATTTTTGTGCTTTTTTGGAATGGCAAAATTGATCTCCCTCTAAAAGTAGTTTTCAGCATAGTCATGCAGCCAAAGGCTTTTTATCCGTCTCACGTTGAGGAATGAAAAGGTGATGAGTTGGTTGCGCTGCCTCCTGCTGTACTCTTGAAGGCATACAAATAATCAAGGCATGTCAGCAAGGAGAAACCTACCTGTTTAGGTATGAAGCACATCCGCTGACTTTGTCATTTCACTCGTCTCAATACTCCCATCACCACGACGCCAGTCGTTTCTGCTGTGAAGTGAAAGCTGCCTGCTGTGTGTTTGAGTGCCCCCAACCGAGTGTCGGCGTGAGACCTGGCATGTGGTGCCGCAGCTGGATGAGTGTAATGATGTTCCCTGCTGAGGCGTGAGTTACTTTTAATGAATTTGTAAGAAAAAAAAAAAACACCATCAATACTTTTCAAACAGATCACATATTGAACATCTCTGAATTTTTTATTCTTTCTTCAGTTTCGAAATCTTAAATGCCATGGCAGGTTTAGGTTTTTGAATGATGACAGGATAGGAAAAATTCCCAAGTGAGTGTATTTGAAAGCAATCTTAATGTTTGGACCTGTGACTTCTCGATTATGGCAATATACCAGTCGGTGTGATGAGTTGCACTAAAACACTTGAGAAAATGAATGAGTTGAGTGCTCATGAGTCAAAATAGAGCTGTAGGTCATTTTTGTTCAACTTTTTTTTTTCTGGCTATTTGCACACACTGGATAAATGGTGCATGAACTGCATGTGCTTTAGATGCCGTGTACACAAAGAATTCTAATTCTAATATAAGGATTTCCCTGTTTTATTTCTCCTTCTCTCTTCAGTATACGTCATCCTTAACTTATGACGGTGTTCTTGTGATGGCTGAAGCCTTTCGCACTCTTCGTCGTCAGAAAATTGACATAAGTCGACGGGGAAATGCTGGAGACTGCTTGGCCAATCCCGCTGCTCCCTGGAATCAAGGAATAGACATGGAACGAGCACTCAAGCAGGTACTTATTTAAATTGGAGTTTTCATTGATTGAAAGTCTACTATTGGTTTTTTTTCCCTGCTTATACTTGTTAAATTTTATTTCAAGGAGTGGATATGAGTCATCCGTACAGACATTCACAACATTAACGCCGTTACACCTGAGAACCGTTTAAATATTTGTCTTTTGACTTGAATTGTCTCGAATTGTTGTTATAAATCCAGGTGCGCATTCAGGGCCTGACTGGCAACATCCAATTTGATCACTTTGGTCGGAGAATCAATTACACAATGGATGTGTTTGAACTGAGGAGCAACGGACCACGCAAGGTGGGCTTTTTTTTTGTTGTTTTTGTGTGCGTTTAAATCAGTAACAAGATAAACGTTTCAGAATGATGTATTTTTCAGAGATCACAGATTGATAGTGTAAGATGGAATGTTGCTTTGAAGGAAAGAGAAACCAAATAGCAAAGGCTGTCAGAAAGCTTGAAAAATGTTGATGTATCCTTCGACTCAAGTCACAATTCAAAAAGCTGCCAAGCAGAAACCACAAGGTCACACTCAGCAAACATCGGGAACAGAGAAACGTAGGCTGTGGCGACAAGTACTATTTGTGTGTCTGTGGTTGCTCCCTCGGGTGTCATAAACCCTGACATTTAACACAATCCGAAGTGGAACGTTATTCTGTAACTGTTACTCTGGTTCATAGAGGTCTGAAAAATTCCGGGATGGGCACCAAACCAACACTGCAAATATTGGGGGCTATACGGCCAAATTGTATTGTTATAATTTCCGTTTTCGATTGCCTTATAACATTAAAAAAAAAAAAAAAAAATTCCCAGTTTTAACTGATTTCCCCCCCCTCCCCCTCCATTTTAATCAAAACAAAAAGCAAATTATGATGACATTATTCAACCAGCTTCACTGACCAAAATGCCTACAAGATCTTAATTCAGGCCCCGGACGCTACACGCTGGCCATCCAGTGTTTGCCAGGGACAAGTTAAATGCAGAGATCAAAATTAGCTGTACATTGTACATTGTTACATTGTGACAGTACCTTCACCTTGAACTCATGTGCTTCCCCTTTCCAATGCTTGCGGAAATGTTGTGTTGTGCATAATGCTGCGAGCGAACCAACCAATGTAAGAACATTCTTCCTCCCTGAGAAAAATAACCACTTAACAAACAATGATGAATAGTCAGGCAAGCAGTCGAAGAGACGCAGAAAAATTCTCGAACACACCAGCCATGAAATAAAAATCTGTGACAGGGGTGAGGAAACAATTCATCATGATGAGCTAAGGATCTTCTAATATTTTCTGACTCGGGGAAACACATATTCTTACAATCAAGACAAGAAATCAAACAGCGTCTTATTTCAGCTCCTTTGACAGCGTAGTGCATGTTATTGAAAGTTCTGAGCTCACACTCAATATCGTCAGTTCCAGGGGGAAATTTGTGGCTGCGCTCATTCTGTTGGTTGGCTTTTACTTTTTGTTCTAGGTAGTCTTGTTTGTTTTATTAATGTTTTTCCCTTGTCTTTCCTGCAATTGGGTTTTCAGTTGAGCTATAAAAGAGACTAATCGGATGATTTCTTCTTTTTGTCCCTCCTCTGCTCACGTGTTCGGGTCAGATCGGTTACTGGAATGACATCGACAAACTTGTCTTGGTCCAGAATGAAAATTCCTTGTCCAATGACAGCTCAGCGATGGAGAACCGGACAGTAATTGTGACGACTATCATGGTAATGTTCCAACTGACTGCTTTGTTTTCTGTATAATTATGGTGCCATTGAAGAGGTGGGCAGCTATGGTATTTTTAGTGCTGAATCCCACCAAATCACGATCATATCCGATTTCCAGCACATGACACGAAATACAATATACTGTAAATGCAATGGAATATCTGTTTAGATGGCTGGATTTACACTGCAATGACGTAATTCCAATTTAGAGCCCATGTCCAATTTTTGCGACAATCGACACAAACCCAGTCGTTCTGTATTTTCATCCACTGATCTCATCAAACCGAGCTGCATGCACAGACACCACAAATGCACGCAATCAGAACCTGGGAGGTCCACATCCACACATCCATCCAAACGATACATAATAATTAAAAAGGTTGTATTTTCTTTGGTTGGCCTGAGATGATTCTTCTTGCTAATTGGTTTCCTCACCGTTACTCCGCTGGCCATCGTCTGCAGTTATTTTTCTTAGAGAATGATCTATGTACCTCTGTGTCGCTAATGTGTTTGTTAATGTGCCTGTTTGTGTTGTTTAGGCGGAGTGGCGATGGCATGGGTATATATCAGCTAACAGTGTGTTTGGATCAGACTTGCATTGACAGGGTATATGTACGGAATGTGATTTGTCCACTTACACTGCTGTCACATTGATGGAAACATGTGGCCTGTTTTTTTTTTTTTCCCCTCCCTTCTTTCTGCTGGCATGGTCCATCAGAATTGTGTCACTTGAACCATGTAGTGTAAATCCAGCCTAATAGAGGGAGACGAGAGTGAGTGTCCTGCAGCAAATTTGTATTCATGCCTCAGAAAACTCCGAACAAGTTTGAGCAATCCCTCGGAGCGTTGGCCCCAAGGGAGTGACATTTGATTAGACTAATGTCTCATTAATAGGCAAATCTAAAACTGACCTCGGATCACCATTCGAACGTGACCTCAGTCTGGACTCTTCTAATGACTTTCGCATGCCAGCCCACTGTCAATTAAATAAGCATGGCACGGTGTCAATCCAAGAAAAAGGAGGGTTGAGCGTGTTTGTGTTCGGGATTTGACATCATCCATCTGTGGCCGATTTGTGGTAGGCCAGCCCCTTTTTCCGCTGTTCAATTTGGCAGACAAAGTCTCATTTCAGCGCATAGGATCTATCTCCTGTATGACAGATCTTAGAGCTGACGCGCATTCCCGCATACAGTCCCGACAAAAAGTTTTTAGATTGACATGGCCAAAGATGCAACAACTTATTATCATAATTGTAGTTAGCAGTCATAAAGAATTGCACTGGAGAGGTGCCCAATATTTTGGTGACCTTATTTAATGAGTGAGTGATTTCGGGTGGAAAACACATACACGCACATACAGCTCTTGAGATGGTTACAGGAGACTCGGTGTGTGTACCGACAAATTTGTGTGTGAACTGTGAACTTCAAATCATCCGTCTTCGGTCTTTCAAAATGCGGTTTGCGGTGGGGATGGGGAGTGAGCGGGGGTCAGGCGGCAGCGCATTACTGTACCTCAGTCTGGACTCTTCTAATGACTTTCGCATGCCAGCCCACTGTCAATTAAATAAGCATGGCACGGTGTCAATCCAAGAAAAAGGAGGGTTGAGCGTGTTTGTGTTCGGGATTTGACATCATCCATCTGTGGCCGATTTGTGGTAGGCCAGCCCCTTTTTCCGCTGTTCAATTTGGCAGACAAAGTCTCATTTCAGCGCATAGGATCTATCTCCTGTATGACAGATCTTAGAGCTGACGCGCATTCCCGCATGCAGTCCTGACAAAAAAAATGTTTTTAGATTGACATGGCCAAAGATGCAACAACTTATTATCGTAATTGTAGTTAACAGTAAGAAAGAATTGCACTGGAGAGGTGCCCAATATTTTGGTGACCTTATTTAATGAGTGAGTGATCTAGGATGGAAAGCACATACACGCATATACAATTCTTGAGATGGTTACAAGAGACTCGGTGTGTGTACCTACAAATTTGTGTGTGAACTGTGAACTTCGAATCATTTGTCTGGGTCTTTTGGTGATAGAAACAGTTGACATTTTGTTGAGGATTCAGGCACAGTTTTGGTAACAGAGTACCATTGTTGGAGGTGTGAGCTCTACAGAAAGGCATTCAAAGCATGTCGCCATTATATCAACTGACCAATGAAATGAGTACATTATGGTCACAATCCTTGAGGAAAAATTCGCGACAAATATATGGTCAAATTCAAAATGCATATTACATCAGGATCTTAACAACATTTGCAGCAATTCTAATTTCAGGTGGGAACCCCTATTTAACTGTTTAGTGCCTGCATTAGCTTTTGTCCATCTGATGTAAATTTGAATTTCAGTTCAGCAATCGTTAATATCCATTCTGCATCATATCTCACTTCATTTTGTGTTTTTTTGCGGTGCAGAGAGACACGGGTCCACCCACGCACTTCACTCACCATGGAAATACACACTCATCATTGAACACAACCATGATTACTGCTAACAAGAGAACTGCTACTTTTACTGTGCTTTTTGTCATTTTGTCCCGACTCATACTTAGTTTACTGCTTTGTGGCTTTGTGGCTGAGCCTGCTTTAAGGTACCCGAGGGTTATGTAACGACATCCTTACTGGGAACGAACAAGAACAGTAAATAATGTTTAACAAGGGTGGAACAGGGGAAAAGTTGCTTGCACAGTTCTAGGTTCGAATTCCAGCTCTTGTGTCAGGTTTGCATTTTCTCCCCTGTGCTTGCCGTAGGTTTGCAACGTCTTACTACTGCTTCTCCCATGACTGGATAATTAGCGCGTTCGATTGAGTTAAATTGTCCATCGGTGCGTCCGGCATGTATGAGGCCGAATTAGCTCACTTGTGACCTTCATGAAAAAAAAACGTGATGGGACTTGAGTGGATGGATGTTATAAATTAATCGCTGGCTAGACACCATATTCGGTGGAAGATCAGGAACCCGGAGGAGACACTTTGGCCTTTAAAATAAAATGCCTAATGGGAGCTTTGCCTAATACTGTAGCCCTCCTCTCATCAGATCTAATTGTGACTGTAATTGACAAAAGCAGAAACACAGAACGTCCCATCATTTGTTCATTTGACAGAGGCCTTGCGTTTCAATATTATTCATCCTTTATCTTCATGGCTGAACTCCATCTTTTTTCTAAATCTACTGTCATGCCTGCAGGGTCAACTTGCCTCCAATGTATTTCACTTCTTCAGGGAAGAAGCGTGAAGGTCTAGCCATTAAGTCAAAGTCAAAATTCCTTCTTTGCCCACTAAACTTAAACATAATTAAATTTTGATTTACTTCAATGTTACTTCCAAAAAAAAAATTACTTTTTCACCTGAAATTATGTCAACGCGCTTCTTTATTTGTTATTCAGTACCATCAATGAAACACTGACAATGGCAAACAACACACCTGAAAAATTCTGTGGCATATTTGTCCATTTACAGAGGTTAGCCTGACCCCCCCCAAGTCGATGATTCATGCATGCGTGCCCTGAAGCCACCACAGAATAAAAATCAAACACTGCTCGGAAAGGAAAAGTGCGCTTCAGTCGTGATCAATTGTTAAGTCGCAGGGCGCTTCCCATCGCGCTTAGCATGCGGTTGTTGTTTGTAATAAAAATACATTGTAATGTCTTATTAATGTTGTTTTCCTGCCCTTGGTTTTATGCTCATAAAAAAAAAAAATAATAAAAAAAAAGCTGTTCGGGGGTTTTGGGTGTTTGAAATTGAATATTTGATAACATTTGATGAAACAATGAAATTCCACTTTATGATACAACAAACGAGTTTGGATTACTGCAGTCACATTTTGTGCTTTGTTGAAGAAAGTTCAGAAGAAATTAACAGCAGGAGTTATAGGAAAGTGTACACAGTCGCTACCTATAGAGCGGAATTCCACTGTATATCAAGCTAAAGCATTATACTGCAATATACGCATTCATCCAGCAACTTTTATCTTTTTTTTTTCATGATGGGTTCTTGGAATCTTTCAATTCCTCCACAAACAGGTTGCTTTCTCAGTGAAAAGGTGAATGCAATGCATACTTGGCCCTCTTGCAGAGAATTGCAGTTGACTTGACCGAGCGACACACAGACTGAGGAGCTAAATGTTGAAGTGTTTTGCTCTTTTTATGTCGAGATAGCTCAGAGACAATCATGCTGACTCACTTGGCCAATACATCAGTGAGTGCATGATTATGTGCTGTAATTTGACTAATTGGGGCACGAATGGACCGGTTGTCCTTCTGACAGACTGAAATAGGCTGTGACCGCTTGGCTCGGCCCTCTGGCTGTCGCAACGGATGGCTCACGGGCATATTTTATGCCTCGGCCGTTGGTTATTCATTTAGCCACAGTCTAGCGTATTGTAATGATGAACTGACTGTTTGAATGCGAGTGGACTTTTCACTGTCCAGCTGTTTTCTCGATGGAGCAAATTGGCTCAAACAGCAAGTCAGTTTGGCACATATCAGGAACCTTTCATGCCTTATCAGCTCCAAACATTTGCTCCTACGAAGCTCAATTTCAACCCACCATGTTTCTGTACTGCATCGCCATTTGGATCATTTGTTGTCAATTATTTTGTTGCTCCCCTCCTTTCCTTTTGTACCTTTCTGCACATTTGTTTCGTTTTTTTTTTCAACGTTCCCATCTTTCAGTCTCTGTTTGGACTGATCCGGCCCTTTATCGTTCCATCGCTGGTGTTTCAGGCGATATTTGCCAGGCAAAAAATGAGATGGTTCGAGTCAGATTTATCGATCTATCGATCTACGATCTGTCTATTTCTTTTTGCTTGTATGGTTCAGAGTGAAGAGAAAAAAAAGAAACTTACGGATTCAGGTATCCTCGGATTAGAATTGTGTTTCTTTCAAGTGTGGATCTGAATTCTACATAAATTAGAGGTCATAGATCATAACGCAGTGAATCAGATCAGTGGACTGTATGTGCTGTCAATGTGAGCCTGACATCACTGAAATATGCAAACTGATGA